TCATGTCCCACCTTGCACAGGACGGCCCCCCAGCAAAGACCGGCCGCCCCAAACAGTGCGAAGGGGGGAGAGGCCAATCAAGGAACAAGTGACACACATCGGTCTTTGGGCCCTGTCCCCAGTCAGGCGGCGGCGTCTAGCCAGACCCTTCTCCCTTCCCTACCAAGCTCATTGACAATCTCAAACTACCTTCCTTTGCTGCCCACTTCCTGGGGCAGGTCACGTGTCCCATGTACCACCTCCTTAGCTCCTCTCAGCCCGCCCCCCCACCCTCCACCACCACTACCCCACACACACACACACACACACCCGGTCCTCCAAATCATCACCTCCGTTTACAGTCAAGAGCCTGAGGCTCAGACCGGGAGGCCCCTTGCCGGGTGGTTGGAACCTAGATTTCACCGGGCACCCATTTCTTCTCTTAACCCTGAGCCCCACTGCTCCAAGGCTCTCAGGACCCCTCCAGGATGGTTTTCTGGGGGCCCCCGTGGGGACTTCCCCCTAGCCAGGGGAACCTCAGGAGGCCAGGGGACCCCCAGTGAGCTTGCAGGCTGGGAAACCAGTTACTGCTCAACTCCCTCCACCCTGGCCCACTCTGCAACCAGCCAGAAAAAGTCTCCTTCGGTGTGGCAAGTGCTACATCAGCCTCTCAGATCAGCCTCTTGGCACCCACGCTGAACCCCCCCTGGCAGGCCACATCCCCAGGAAGCTCAGGCCACCTAGGTTTTAGGACCCAGCCAGGAACCTGCTCACAATAGCAAGGACTTCTGTTTAAAAACACTGACTGAGAGGAAGTAAGGTTACCGCCTGGGACCGGATCTCTTTCCGGAGGGAGGAGGGGGCGCCCTGGATGGAAACCAGGCTTTCAAACTGTTAGCAGGAGAGGAGGTGAAGGGAGAAGGCCCTGGTGCAGAGGGCGGTAGCCTCTGCCCAGCACTTCTGCTTTGTCTGAACTGAGCTGCCAAGCAGGACGGGGCCCTCGAAGAATGTAGGTTAATGAGCAATGGCCCTCGGCTCCACAGCTTGGCTGTAACACTCTGGAAACAGCAACTCGGTCCCAACACCCGTGGTGTCCCAGGGAACAAGTTCATCAAAATGCTAAACGTGCATTTGCTTATGTGCTGTTTCATCTTCTGGAAACTCAAGGTGGACTCCGAACACTGTACCTGGCCAAACCGGTGAAGGATGCCCAAAGCACGCAGGCGCGCACCGCCATCTCTCTGTCCGCACCACGCCCGTCCACTTGCGCGCCCAGCTCCTCTCCTTCCTCCCCCACAACCCTGCTGGTGCCCACGGCCACGGCCACAGGGACCCCAAAGGTCTTTTCTACCATAAGGCACCGTGTTTATTGTACATTTTGGGGGGTATTTCTTATCCAGAAAACTTGTATAAAAAGGTGCAACTGGTTTTTTAGGTTTTTACCTTTTCTAAGAATGTGCTCCTGATGAAGTTTCTGAGCTAAGGTCGTGTCCTTAGCCCTGTTTCTAACGAGGCCCCTGGTTTTTACCGCGTGACCCCGCAGAGCTCAGGATCCACGGGGACGCGCTTATGCGGTGGCAGAAGTGACTGTATTATGTAAAATGCTAAGCACAGTGCCCAGCACCCGATACGTACCAAATCAATTTTAACTTGTTAACAGTAAAACGGAGGGAGAGGAAGGCAGAGAGGATCAAACATCTAATAAAATTAAGATAAAGGAGTAATGAGCCGTTCCAGAAAAGCACGTGTGAGGATTTCGGAATGATTCAGGAAGAGGTGTAGGAATGAAAGACGGCATAAACCACCGTGGGTGTGTATGATTACAACCCTGCAATAAAATGTTTTGGCCCCATAAAAATCTATGAACTCCGGAAGGAAACACATCAACGTGTCCAAAGCAATGGACGGGACTTAGAGAGAGTGTTGACTTTTTAATTTAACAACGTGTTTCCTCTACTTCCCATTTTGCAAACTCATAAACCTTTTACAACTTTAAAGACAACATAAGATCCAAACCAAAGCAATTTTCAAGAAGCAGACAAATCACTGGGTCTTGCTAACCCAAACTCACGTGGGCCCACGCCCTCCGTGGAGCCTGTGGGTGGGGACCTGTCCCTCTCCGCCACCTCCCTCGCTGTGACAGGTGGCAAGCATGCACTGCTGAAGGCAGCTTTTCCCCTTCAACGCAGTAACAAACACTTCCTCTCCTTTCCACTCTGTCTTCAGAATACATGTGATTTTTAAGGGCAAGAATTGTGAAACAACTAGTAGCCTGTGACCTTTACTTTGTATCTTGTAATGATCTAGCAATGACTTTCTTTTGAAACTAATTTCCAATTGCATAAGGATTCCGTAAGAATGAGCTTGACTTTGCTCAAAAAATCACTCCAGCCCTCTTCTTTTTTCTCCTGAGGCCGACTGTCAGCTCCTCAGGGAGAAGAGGAAGCCCGAGACTTCAGGTCCTCAGACTGAGCCTGGGCAAGACTCTCATCCCATCAGTCATCTGAGCCCTCTCCTGACCAGCATCCAACAACTTGGGCAAGTCCTCAGGAGAGCTCTCACCACCTAGGCCGCCAGGACCCGCTGGCTCTAGGACAGGGGGAGAAATGGTGCTGGCCACACTCAGCCACTCACAGCCAACTGGTTCCCAGGCGCCATGTCAGAATGCAGGTCCTGGTCTCAGCCATCACACCTACCCTCTGCCCTGTGAGGCCTGGGTGGCCACACCAGGGAACAGTGAAGGGGGAAGGAGGTACAGCCACTGATTAGTCTGTAGTACAGCACCACCTGCTTCAACTTCAACTCCAAGGGGCTCAGTCTGCCTCCCTCTTCCAGGGTTGGAGGCCTGAGTGACAGGGACCTCAGATCCAGGATGGGGCTTCCTTAGCAGGCAACTGAGGGAAGGGTTCAACTGAAGCCCAAAGCCTTGGGTTCCAGTCCCGTCCTCTCTCTGGACCCAGTATCCCCCATATAACACAGGTTGGGTTAGATTGGAAGGTGGCACACTAAGGTCAGACGGGTAATGGAATCCACTCTCTAGGTGTATAAGCTCTTGGTCTCGCTGTCCCTCATCTTAATGGTGAGCCAACCACAGGTTTGCAGGGGGAGGTTTGCAGGTTTGCAGACCACCACTTTGAGAACTAGACTCGCTTTACAAAGGGGCCAAGAGGAGACAAGAGAATCCGATGAGCTCCTCAGTATGAGATTTCTAGAGTAGCTGAGGGGGGGGGGGGTTACAGAGCTGAAGCAGGAAATGACAACTGAAACTGACATGGGGGAAATCTGAGGGGCACAAAGGCAAAGTTCTGCATTCAAGTTTGAAAGAAAATGAAGCAGTCTCCGAACCCAGGACACACTGGTGGGTGGAGGTGGAGGGAGGGCGCCGGGAGGGAGGGAGGAGGACAGGACTGCAATGGAAAGCCAGCCCCTAAGAGCAGAGCCATCCTTGACAGCCAAAGGCATGCACAAAGAACACCAACTGCGCCTTCTGGAGAAAGGGAAGGGTGTGGTCAGCTGACCAAGGGTTCAGCTGCCCTCATGGTGGTCAGGGCACATTCGAAGCACAGGCTGTTATCCTGGGAAGGGGAGGACAATGGCAGGGTGTCCCCGGGAGACACAAGGCTCAGCTTCCTGGTACCACTGGGCAGAAGATGCAGCTCTGAGAGGGGTAAAGAAAGACGTGCCTGCTAGAGAAGGTGCCCATGGCTCTCCAAGACGTGCAGAACCCTCAGCCAGAGCAAGGAAGCAGAGAGCCCCCAGCCCCCAGTGAGAGGGGTGGCACAGAAGCCGGCCTCCAACCACAGAACCGGGGCTCCAGTGGGGGTTCCACCCTGCAACAGGAAGTGCCAGCTTGCAGGGGAGGTGAGAAGGTGACGAAACACACCCAGATGGGCCTAGCTGGCCCCCAAATCACCTCTACAGCAGTGCTTGTCGAACTCCGAACTGCTTAGTTATCACCTGGGGATCCTGTTCAAAGCCGAATTTAGTAGATCTAGCGAGGGTGGGGCCTCCAAAAGGCCCCAAATCTGCTTTTCTCACGCTCCCAGGTGACTAGGAGTCGCTTCCCACTCTTGGGTAACTAGGCTCTATCTAGACCACCTCCAAAGCACGCAGAGCGAGTGCTGGGGGGAACATGGAGCTGGGCAGAGAAGCCCTTTCTGAGGTCCAGACCTCCTAAAAGGGCAACCCTGGAGTAAGAGTGGTCTACAGGCTACAGGAGCCCCACGGAAGGTGATGGCTTAGGAAGGAGGCGCCCTCCTGGAGAAACGGAGACCAGGGGGAGGGTGGAGTCGAGCCCGAGGTCTCCTAGTCCTCAGTACAACTCAGCCACTCGGAATTGGTTCATGGGAGCAGGAACCAGACAATGTCGTGCTGCGAACATGTCCAGAATCAATCAGCTCTGCTCCGCACTCCTCCAGGGGAAAGGTGACTGAAGGCTGGGAGACTCCCCAGCTGTGACTCATCTGCAGAGTCAAATATGACCCCCGAGGGGCAGCCCTCCTCCTCCGCCCAACCCGCCTTTCCAAACCTAACCTATCACTGTGGCCCGCTCCCGCCCCACCCCACCCCGACTTTTCCGGTCTCTGGATCCTCTTCAGGTGTGTCCCCAACTCAACGGGTCCTAACCCTTCCAGACGGCCGAGTCTCTCTGCTGCCTCGGCATTCTCACAGCATACGCGCGGGCGCTCTTTACAAAGTCCGCCTGGTACCGCAGTTTTACGGAGGATGCCTCGGGCGGCCCTCTCGGACGCGAAGGGGCCACACGCGCCCCTTTGTCTCCCCCTGCGGCGCCCAGCGCAGTGCCAGACGCACAGGAAGTGCTCGGCAACTGAGCGGTGTCCAGAGGGGGCGCCAAGCGCGCAGAGACTCAATGGGGCTGAGTGAGGGTCCCCAGAACAAGGGTCACCGGGACAGGCGCCCTGAACCCCGATGGGGCTGGGCAGCCCCTCTGCTCCCTCTGGAGCCGCAGCCGGGGCTGACCGGAGCCCGCGCCCCCAGCCATCCACCCTCAATGCCCTCACCTTGTAAACCTTGCCGAAGGCGCCGTCGCCCAGCTCCCCCACGATCTCCCATACTTCGTTGGGGTCCAGGTCCCGGCGGACGTGCTCATATTCGCGGGACTTTCTCTTCTCGAAGGTGGACAGACGCAGGATGCGGCGGAAATTGGCGAAAGCCATGGCTGGGGGCGCGCGAGCCAGGGGGCGAGGTGGCGCCGGCTGCGCCTCGGGCAGTGGCTTCGGCGGCCGCGAGGAGGAGGGGCCGGAGGACGCCGCGGCGCTCCGGGGTTCTCACCAGACCCGCCCTTCCCCGCAGCTGGATCGCGATCAAGTGCGCCCCGGGCTGAGCGCCGCTGGAGCACCCGGAACCGCTCCCGCAGCCCAGGACCCCGCCTCCGAAGCCCTGTCCCCCGGGACTCCTCCCGCGTGCCGGCCTCTATCTCACCGAGCTCCACACCCTGCCCGGGAGCCCCGAGACGCGGTACGGGACACAGCCCGCGTCCGCCCACCAGCCGGGCTCCACCTGCAGTGCCCCGGCAGCGCCCGCAGACCCCCTAATTGGCTGCGGGCGTTCCCGGGCCCCGCCCGTCGCCGCAGGGCACTCTGGAAACTGTAGTCCACCGCGAGCGCGCGAGCTCAGGGTTGGGCTTTGGACCGTTCTGGGGACCCCTCAGGGGGACCGTCGTGGATCTGGGAGGCCAGCGGTGCCTTGTGGCTCCCAAAACTTCTATGAGAACTAGAGGGGAAGTGAATTGGCTTCCTGCCAGTGCGCGCTGACTCCGAGAGCCAGGAAGGTGAATCGGGATGAAGCCCTGAATCTATCCTGCGACGCCCCCTCGAGGCTGTTCTGCTCGCACCCACTTTGCAGGTCGGGATGCCCGGCGAGCGAGGAAAGCCGCCTCAGGCGGCACCTCCCCTCGGCGGATGCTGGGTGGAGTCCTCGGCGCGGTGCTGCCCCCTACCGCGCCAAATGCTGTGCCCCTGCAGCCGCGGTGGGTTCCTGGAGGCCCCGGCTTGCCGGGTCGTTTCCTGCTTCCCAGGAACTCCCGCACCCCGACCCGGAGCCGGCCAGGCTTAGACGGCTGGGGGAAAGAGCTCCTTTGGGATTTACTCATCACGGGCTTCATGATGGATCTTCAGATATGTTTGCATATTAAATTAAAAGCTTCTGATTCTTAATTTCCCACTTTAAATAAATATGAACTCATTATAGATAAAAGGAAAATCTTTGAGCACGATCACGCCGATCCCGGTCCTTTGACACGCTTCGCGGTCAGTGACCGGCTCGTGTCCTGAATACAGCTCTTTAAATAGTGAGCCTTGGGTTGGACGCCCCACTTTTCCTGGACAACAGACGTCCTTTTGTCCCCCAGCCCTTCAAGGAAAACCAAAGTGACCCTCTAGGTTCCCGTCTGGTTCCTCCTTCAGCTGTTCAGGGCTTTACCCCTCCAATCACCAGTTGTTAGAAAGTTTATCCATATTAACACAGCTCGCCATATTCCTAAACTCAGAACTGCTGTGAAAGTTGTAACATAGAAATTATTTGCTCCTTAACGGTCTTGAAAAACCCTCCCAGAAGACCAACTGGGCCGGTTATCTTTTCCTAGCGTTTCATCATTGATTACTTTCTGATTATTGGTTATGATGATTGCTTCACATCTTTAACTCCTTCATGAGTCAATTTTCCTAAATTATTCTAAGTCTGTGCTGTGCCATATGGCAGCCACTAGCCAGATGTTGGCCGTTAAGCACTCAAATGTAACTAGCCCAAACAGAGAGGTGCTGCTGTGAGTATAAAATACACCACGTCTGAGTTAGGATAAGAAAGGATTGTATGGACCCTGGCAGGTGTGGCTCAGTGAATTGAGCACTGGCCTGCGAACCAAAGGGTGGAGGGATCGATTCCCAGTCAGGGCACATGCCTGCAACCCAGGCCAGGTCTGCAGTGGAGGGCACACAGGGGAGGCAACCCACACGTTAATGTCTCTCTCCCTCCTTTCCCTTGAGTAAAAATTTTTTGAAATCTTAGGCGAAAAAAAGAACAAAAGGATTTCATGGTTTCACTTATATGTGGAATCTAAAAATCAAAAACAGGACAGAAAACTGTAATTGAACAATTAAAAAAAATTTTAAAGTAGATTTCAGTTGTTTATGAAAATAACACAATAATTAATAAGTAATACAAAAATAAGTAAATAAGTAACAAAAACACAAAACTGATCTCACCGGTTCCTAGGGGTGGGAAGCGGGCGAAGGGGGGTCACAAGGTGCAACTTGCAGTTAGAAGGTCGCTAGGTGCCGGGCATCCATACTGAACAATACTGCCCTGTATACTTCGGAGCTGCTAAGAGGATACATGTTAAAAGTGCTCACCACAGACAAACAAACTCTGTGAGGTGATGGATGTGTTAACCAACCTTACTGGGGTAATTATTTCACCACAATAAGTTTAAGTTGTACAATGTAATAACGATGTCAAATTATGACATTGTACAACTTAAACGTCTACAATGTTACATGCCGATTATATCGCGCTAAAACTGGAAGGGTTGTAAAAGGACTTTTAAAATATATTGATTACAAATTGAAATATTTTGGATACACTGGATTAGATAAAATGTCATCCAAACAAATTTTTTCAATGTAGCTGTTAGGTCGGAGTCGCTCAAGAAACTGGGCTGACGCAGGGAGCTAAGGAGAGCAGGGTTTATTAGTGGGGAATAGGAGGGAAGGTGGAGTCACCTGACGGCGGCTGGGACTTGCTCGGTTGTTCTTAGCTCAGGGTTTTCAAACGCAAAAACCTGCAGCAGGGGTATCAGAGTCTGATTGGCTAGAGCTGGTTGCTGGGTGAAAACTGAATCCCTGTTATGCCGGATAGGATAGGCTGACCCCAGACCCTGATCTTCCTGGGCAGGGTCTGCAGGCAGCTTCCCATGGTGCCATTTTCTCGCCTGGTGATTTTCACTCCTTCTAGGCCTGCCTACATCTAATAGTAGCTACTAGCAAATGTAAAATTACACATGTGATGTATTTGTGCCTTGCATGACATATGTATTGGAGAGAGCTGACTTAACATTCCAAATTACTGGCAGAGTTGTGTATAGTCTTCTTACATGTATTTTTCATTGATCGATTTTAGGAGAGGAACATCGACCTGTTGTTCTGCCCATGGGCTGACTCCCGTATGTGACCTGACCAAGGACCAAACCCGAAACCTTGGCAAATTGGGACAAGGCTCCAGCCACCTTAACGACGACCCAGGCAGGGCTGTGTGTATTTTAATCACTCACTTATCGTGAATCTCCTTCCTCATTCTGATTCTTCAAAATCTTTTTCTCTCCCTATCACACTTGCCAAAAACGTGTCTGTTTTTATCGACCTTTCCCTAAAACCAGCATTTGTGCCATAGACCTAACTACCAGTTTATAGAAAATAGAGACAAGGGAACATGTTAGACACTGGAGGTGAAAATGGGCAAGAATTAGAGTGTTTTCCTCTCTGTGGAGATCTGGATTCTCCAACAAATAAATTGCAAGAAAAAGTAAAAAAACTAGAAAGAGGGAACCTCAAGATACTAACAAAATGGTCTCAGGGTAACACACAAATCTGTTTGGGCTCCTGACTTAAATAATTCATTTATTAAAAAAATTTAGCCCTGGCTGATGTAGCCCAGTGGACTGAGCACTGGCCTGTGAACCAAATACCACGGTTGGATTCCCAGTCAGGGCACGTGCCTGGGTCGCAAGCCAGTTCCCAGCAGGGGACACACCAGAGGCAACCACACATTGATATTTCTCTCCCTCTCTTCTTCCCTTCCCCCCTAGAGATAAATTGAAATTAAAAAATTTTAATTTAAAGGTATATACATGTCTAATCACTGTTCTACATCTGAAACTACTAATATTGTCTATCAACCACAACTTAAAAGCAAATTTAGAAATTTTAAGAAAGAACTAGGGAACTATGCATGCTGGCTAGATATTTGATAACATTAAGGAATGATCATCGCTTATTTTTAGGTATAATAGTATGTGGTTATGTTTTTTTAAGTCACTTTTTGAAATATATTATTTAATGTTTACAGATGAGAAGTCATATCTGAGATTTGCTTCAAAATAATACAGTGATGGTTGTGGTGGGTGGGTGTAGATGAAAGACCGGCCCTGCGTTGATCATTGTTGAAGCTGGGGGACTGTGTGTAAGTTTATTACGCTCATCTACATTGAGATGTTTGACATTTTCCATTACAAAGAGCGTGAAGAAAAACAGGTCCTGATTATGTTGGGCAGGCCAAGAGCCCATTACATCTTTTCTGTAAAATAAGAGACACATTTTTCACTTTCACCAATAACTTGATTGATCTGGACATTTTGAGTATGTCGGTTCTCTCCCGCTATTGGTTTCTAGTGGGTAGAGGCCAGGGGTGCTGCTGAACATCTTCCAGTGCATAAGACAGCCCCCCAGCAAAGAATTATTTGGCCACAATGTCAATGGGACCAAGAAACTGCGCAAGCCACTTTAGAAATGTTCAATCGGTCACAGCACCTTCTCCATACACTGCAGAAATTTTTTTCCAGTTTGTTGCATTTTTACCTTTCTTGAAATAACAAAGCCTAATACCCCCAAAATGTTGTGTCTCTTCTTCCATCTTCGATTAAAACGTCTGCACGAAAATTCACCAATTTTGATAAGCTGGTTTTTAAATGCACAGATATGACAGCTGGCACAACGCAATCTAACAAAATAGTTTCAAATCAAGGTCAAGACAAGTAAGCACTACTACAGCCATCTCATGGGGAAAAACCTCTTTTTGTCCAGCCCAATGCTGACCAAGTTTACTGTCCTCTGGTTCACTTATTTGTGTTTTGGTCTTTTAAAAATTCCTTCTTGCCCTGGCTGGTGTAGCTCGGTGGATTGAATGCAGGCCTGTGAACCAAAAGATCACAGTTTGATTCCCAGTCAGGGCACACATGCCTGGGTTGCAGGCTAGTTCCCAGCAGGGGATGCACAAGAGGCAACCACACAGTGGTATTTCTCTCCCTCTTTCCTTCCCTTCCCCTCTAAAGGTAAATAAATTTAAAAGAATTCCTTCTCTTTGTGGTTTTATTTTAGTTATTCTAGGTTCTTTTTTCCCCGTTTTTACTGAATGTATTGGGGTGAGACTGGTTAATAGAATTCTACAGGTTTCAGTCGCACAGTCCCACAACACATCATCTGGCAGGTTCCTTTAGTATGTGGTGTATTTTTCATTTTTTTCTTGTTTTCTAACTCATGTATTCAGGCTATAAACCCTCCTGAGAGTCACGTCAGCCCTATAACATGTGTCGTGTGTTCATGTGTGTACACTCTCACTGGTTTCCGGTCTGTGATTTCAGTGTAGAACTGGCTACATTTTAGTGCCAGACAAGTGATCAAGTTTCGAGATCAGGGCGAGGCTGCAGAACTGGGAGGAAGCCACTGTCATTTCCTCCCTTGCAGTGGACGTTCAGTATTCTGTCCGTTTCAGGTGGTGTCCGAACAGCATGGTGATTAGACATTACTGTAACTTACGAAATGATCTGGAGAAGTCACCATTTATTTTTTATTGATGGTTTCCTACCATGCAGTTGCCTAGGAAGACCACTCCTTCTAGAGCTTCTCTCTCTCGAACGTTCTAGTTCCAGGACGGAATCCTGTGCTCACTGAGGCCACCAGAGCCGCCTCTGGGGAGACAGCAGCGCCGCGATGACCCTGAGGCAGGGGTCGTTTCTGTGGTACCTCTATCTGGACAGACTGTACTGCTTGCTGTCTGTGAGGAACGTGAGGGCCTTGGTGGAGTACTTCCACCTCTTGGACGTGCACCGCAACAACACCTTGAACGGTCAGTGCTGTCGGAACTGGCTCCTCGGGGCTGGTCTCATGGACTTGGACTTCAGGCTGGTGGCAGTCGGTGGGGAGGACACAAATACAGGTTGCGCGTTTAAATCCTGGCTGTACCCGTCACGCCTCGGTGACCTGATGCATGCGTCATCGCCCTCTCTAGGTCTCACTTTCCTCGTCTGTAAATAAGGGTTCTGATAAATGGAGTGCATCTCATAACTGGGGCGGGGGAGATAATCAGCCTGAGGGGCGAAGCTCAGTTGTCTGGGTGTCGTCCTGCAAGGACGACACATCTGAAGGTCGCTGGTTGATTCCTAGTCAAGGCACACGCCGGGTTGCAGGCCCAGTCCCTCCCTGGCCACGGCGTGTACGAGGTAACTGATTGATGTCTCTCTCTTTCTCTTCCCCTCCCTTCTTCTCGAAGGATCATCTTTCAAAAAGAGATGATTAAATGAGGCAATGTGTGGGAAATGCTTATTAGCACATGGTGAGGACTTCGTGTTCATTGTCATTATGCCTTTTCCTGGGGGCCGAGGCCCCCTCAGGGTTCTGCTCTGTGGAACTGGGGTTTGAATCACAGAGATGATCTGAAAGCGCCCTCTAGTCCTCGGCTTTTGTGAGTGACCCGAAAAGTACTGACGACCTCGGCCCACCTTGGAATGCACAAACTAACGGAAGACCAGTTAAAATATTTTAGGATTTTTTTTTTAAGGACTGGCTATAAATAAGGTGTCCTGTCCATTCATTGTGACCTGAGAGATTAATGTCATTGGTGAATAACAGGGTTCTCCCTCCCATTAAGGTTTTTAAGAGTTCATTCAATCTTCAACAAATAATAAAAGGGCCCCTTCATTTTCTTGAGATTTCAGGCCCCAGTTTTTCTCTTTACGAATAGATCTGTCCACGGGGTGTCACCAGATCTGCACCAAAACCCAGTCCCAGACAACGCAATGCGGGGCACCTCTCTGTAAACAGAGCGCCTGGGGCCGAAACCCACACTCCAAAGTCCACTCTGAGTCTCACCGGAATGTTTGCTGGGAAGAGTCCATCTCCCTGGTAACTCCCTCCCTCCCTGGTGATGCAACACCCCAGAGGGAGCCGAGCTCCTGCCTCCGGTGGCCCAGGGGATCGGAGGCAGTACAGGCACAGGGGACATAGCATGGCTACGGCCTTGGAGACTGGAGTGGTTTAAAAATAGTATTTGGTAAGTGGCTTCCGAGTTCCACGCTAAAACCTCTCTAAAAAGCAACTACACAAGCATCGTTGTGTATATATAAGGTGCGTTTTTCCCACATGTGCCCACCCGGTGGGGCACGAGGGAGGAATATCAAGAGACCACCAGAAGCCCCCATGGGAAGTCGCCATGACCTGTGACAACTGGTTCACTGAGCTTAGCTGGGACTCCAAACTATGGAGGTTCTTTACGTTCAATGGAACCGTATCTTACGGAGGAAAAAGCTTTTGTAACCAATGGGCCAGGGGAAATCACATGGAGACAAAGTAACGTGTGCAAATCCCTGCAGTTACCGCAGGCGGTCTGTGTACACAATCTGTACAGCCACACACCACTGTCCAAGGTCTCGCCAGGTTTGTTGCTTTCATTTCACACACGCGGAGATGGGATGATTGGCGGGTTGAATTTCAGCACAAACCTCCCCTGTCCTTTGCGGCATTTTCCTCTCTCATTGCGTATGATGACAAAACATGCATCACCAACTGATGTGCAAAAGAGAAGGCTCCGCCCAGGAAGGAGCAGGGCAATGGAGTCGGGTGGACCGCATGCTGATCCCAACTCGGCCACCAAGTGTGGTCAGCAGTGGCCGCATCACCCGGGAGCTTGTTAGAAATGTGGGCCGGGCCTATGCTGGAATCCGAGGGTCCGAGTGTGTGTTTTCACGAGACCCTCGAGAGACTGGGACGCGCACCACAGCTCAAGCAGCACTGAGCTACCTGTTCCTCTCCAAGGCTCATCATAGGAGGCTGCAATGCCGCCTTTCCTGTAGACTCCTCAGCATTCAGTGACATGTGGCCTTGAAGTGCTTAGTCCTAAGGCAGCCTTCTGCCGAGCAAGTGTCAAACTCATTGTCACTGGGGGGCCACATCAGCCTTGCGGTTGCCTTCCAAGGGCCGAATATAATTTTAGGACTCTATAAATGTTAACTACTCCTTAACTAGAGGCAAGGAGCTTGGCGCTGCCGCCGGGTAGAAACAAGGTGCCGGGCTGGATAAAACCAGGTGGGGGCCTTGTGTTTGCCACCTGTGCCCTACGGTGTTCAATTTCAGCCATTTCGTTCCCTCCTGGCCAGATGCATTCACCTGAATGTAAGCATGGGGAATAGTGATACTTTTAGAGAAGAGAAATGATTTTTAAATTTCTCGTTTTTATGATCTCAAGCGAAAGGCCCAGGTGAAATGTCAGCTTCTCCAAGAAAGTGTCCACGGTGGCCAGTGAGCATGACGCTCTTCCTTTCTCCACACGTGAGGGGCACTTGGTGCCTTTTACTGGATGTCCCCCGGGGCAGTGCGGGTGCAGGGCCAGGATCCGAGCCCCCCCACCCGCCTTCTGCACCCCTGGGGTGCAAGGCTGCCCCGCACAGCGTGAACGCCATGAAGGCCTGGGGAATTGTGGAAGGTACAACAGTGAAGCCAGAAACAAAACAGCACAGCTTTCCCCGGATCACAGGCTTCCGGTGTAGCACTGAGGCAGCTCCCAGTTCCCGAGCCTTCGGGAGGGGTCCCAGAATAACCTGTCCCCTCATCTCCCCCATCACAGACCTGCTGTTCTACCACTTCCTCCACCATGTGACCAACTGGAACCGCAGACAGATCATGAGCGTGTTCGACATGCTGGACTGGGAGGCCACGGGCGAGATTGGTTTCGACCAGTTCTATGTGCTGGTCTGCATACTCCTGGCACAGCAGGCGAGTGGGAGCGGGCCCGGGGACAGGGGAGGCCTCCCCTGGCCGCTGCCGGCATCTCGCCAAAGGTAGTGCCGAACTAAGAGTGCACGGAAAATGTCCTTCCTTTCACGCGAAGCAGGAAGGAAAAAATGCGAGGAGGAACGATTTCTGGGTCCCAAAGGGTCCGTCAGTAACCTAGAAACTCCAGTAGCTACCCAGCCTCGGCCCCTGCGGCCTGCCCTCCTTCGGCCCTCCCACCCCACGTGGCCTCCCTGAAGACACTCCGAGGCCCTCCTGGCCATGCCCTTCCCTGCCTGCTCCAGCTGGGGCTCCTCAGTGTCACCCGTGAGCCCAAGCGCCTCACTCCCTCCACGATCCCCTTTCTCGGAGAATTTTCTGGAGGGACGAAGGGTGGAAATGAGAAAAGCTCTTCTCTGGGTCCCCACCTTACCTTGCACACACACACATCCAGCGTGATTTTACCCACTTCCCACTCCCCAAGGAAAGGGGCCCCCGTCTTCATTATTTCGCCAGCAGTGCCACGAAGCTCCGCGGGCAGATTTTCGCTGGAGGAACCGAAACGCGTCCCCGTGGCTGGAGTTCTGTCTGCACTGTGGACCGCAGCCCCGGTGCCCCTGCAGGCAGATGCTGAAGCAGGACTTCACGCACTGGCCACAGACCCCTTCAGCCTTAGGCGTCCCTGCTTTGGCCTGCGGCTCTCCAGGGAACGGAGGAGGGCACACAGGGGGCCGGGCGCAGCGAGTTCTGAAAGTGGCACCAGCAACACTGTTTCTCTCTTGTCCCACCCATCTGTCCCCAAACAGAACCACTTGGAAGAGCAATTTATCTACCGCCACTCACGGCCGGTGTTTGAGCTGCTGGACCTGAACGGGGAGCTGAAGATCAGTGCAGAGAACTTCTGCATGTACAACTTTCTCTTCCACATCAAAAAGCAGGAGTTCCGAGACTTCTATCGTGACCTGGACATCACAGGTGACCGTGTAAGTGCTGATCCCTCGAGCCTGGCCTGGCAGCCTCTGTCACGACACCGAGGTCAGTGACTAGGACCTGCAGTAGAGATGGGGGAGGAGGAGGGCGGGAAAAGTGGCTGAGCCTGGCACGGTGCTGGGGTGGGAAGCAGCTGAGTCACAGGCCTGTGGAAGAGAGAGGACTAAGGGACTGAGTGCTCCATCTTGTACTGTGGGTACAGGCCCACGGGAGCTCAGACAAGGACGTGAGTGAGGACTATGGCAGGAGGTGGCGTTGCGTAGGGCAGATTTACGTAGAAAGGGGAAAAAATTCTGATGGGAGCACAGGAGCAAAGTCCTGAGACGAGTACAGTTCAGCCCGTATATTCAGCCCCTTTAGAGAGGAAGTCTGTCGGGGAGGCAAGAGGGAGCTAAGGCTGAGGGAAGGGGGTGCCAGGCTGAGCCCTTTGGGCTGATGTAACAGAGGAGCGGGCCCTGGGTCCCTTCAGAGTCTGCAATAGACTCTCTGGCTCCTAGACCACAATGAGATGCTAATTTAGTCCTAATATTCGAGCCTCTTGCAGTTTCCAGGTTCTTAATGGGAAATCATTAAGGGAAACCAGTCCTGTTGTCATGTGCAACAAAGTATCAAATCCCCCCTGACATAATTTTTCACCCCCACAAAAGCGTCTTAATTACAAGGAATTCAAGCTGTTCGCTATCTTCACCATGGACAAATACCAGGAGAAGCAGAAAGCGGAGATAGAAGAGAAGGAGAAAAAGGAAGAGGAAGAGAAGGCTCTGCAGAAAAAGATGTCACTCCAAGTTCAAGTGACTCCAAAAGAGAGTCTTACTGGAATAAATGAATCTGAAAGTAGAGTGTAAGTCATTACAACTGTTGACATGTTTAAAAATAAATTTGAACATGAAAGTAGGTGTCTTTACCTTGACTTTGATGTACGAAGGGCTCAAGGGAGTGTTCCCCAAACAGCAGGTTCTGACCCTGAATGACCCCGTAACCCACAATAATGTCACGGGAAGGAACCGCCCTCTTTTCGTCCGCCCACACGTCCCAACCCAGCTCACTGTTAAGCCCCCCTATCCAAACAATCCCCAACACTTCCTGGAGCCACGCAGCTGAAAGAAGGTGACGCTTTCCCAACGTTGGTCACCAGTGGTCCATTACTTGTAGGATCTCTCCTTCTCCCCCGGCCCCCCAATCCTGTGCGAAAACTACCTGGATGCAAGACACTTCGAAATGGCAAATGGTGAAGTGCCTCCAACCAGCAGGGAAACCGACTTTCAAGGATATTCGGGCTGTGTTTTTCCAAGAACCAAATTCCTCTCTGACTGGTTATGTGTGCTTAAGCAAAGGTGTCAAACCTGCTCGGATAAAGTAAACATGACGGGCCCCTTTTAACTTACCTTTTGTATAACCAAGGCAACGTTTGAACGTTTGGAGCAGGGGACTTGGGAATCCTCCCTCTCTGCCTGTGCTGTGATGTAATGATGACAGGTACCATTTAGTTGACGAATTACTTGCTGTGGGTCATACAGGTGTTGGACGCATGGATTCATTCATTCTCATAACCCTCTGAATCGGGTGTGAGCCTCAACTTACAGATGAGGAAACCGAGGCCTACAGAGATGAAGAACCTTACCCAAGAACATTTGCTTCATAGTGGGAGGAGCAGGATTCAAATCTAAGGTCAATTAGATGCCGGGGCTTAGTGTAAGCAATCCGAGTAACTCATTTCAGTTTTAGCGGATTCTAAGTTTTAAGCTAGCATTTCATGGGTTCAGAAATTCTTTCTGTATCATGCTAATCATTTCCTTCTACCATAAATTTCTGAGGAATGAGCTTGGCGAGTAAAGAAATACAGCTCACTTACTATAAACAAAGGATTTCTTAAGACTACATTATGCAATCTAACTGTCCCTAAGGCAACCGATGAGTTCCAGACAATCATCAAAAATCACTTTCTCAAGGTGCGACAGACAAGAACGCTACTTAACTAAGACTGCCATTCGGAACTCAAACCTCTGTTTACAGTAGAAATCACGTTACTTACTATGAACACTTCCTATATTTACTCTAACAGACGTGGGGTTTTGATAACATGCTCATGACCATGAATCACGTCCAGCAGCCAAAACCCAGGCTTCTGATCTCTGAACTGCACAAGGGGGTAACTAACGGTAGGCACCGCAGAGCATGCTGGGAAGGTCAGAAAGATGCGGAGCTCCTCACCTAGACCGGTGGTGCTCTTCTCTCTGATTTGGTGAGAAGTTCACAGGCACTCTCCCAGGAGATACCCCCTCACGGGCCAGGCTGGACACGACCATGCGACACAGAGGACCGTGCTGAGAGATGAGGACAGGCTGGCTGGGAAGTGACAGCTTGGGATTGGCCGTCCTTCCAAAGGGTCTCACCACTGAGCTTACCTCGGAACAAGCCTCTTGTGCTTCTTTCCCGTGTGTGGGGACAGCCCCGGGACACTTATAAAGGTGACCAAATACAGGAAGCAATGAAGGTACTCCACCCTTTACCATGTCAGAATGGGCACAGTGAGGGAGCAGGGAAGAGCCCAAGGGAACAGGTGAGCAGGTGAGGTTTTAATGTTGGCTAAATAAATTGAAAATGTAAATGTTTAAACTATGATTTCAAATGAACTTGGATCAGTTAATACTAAATTTAACCGCTGACGTTTCACACAGGGGCAGGTAGTACAGTCTTCCCCTGCCCCCGGGGGCTCATCGCGGTCACTGTAAAAGGTGTCCTGACCCCGCTGGTAGACAGAGCACGTTTATAAACGGTGTGAATCTGGAATGGAATCAGGAAGCTGAGCACTTCCCTCCGATGGGCCCAAACGGAGAGTATAAAAACCACAATTGAATTGCCCCTCAGTAAAGCGACACTTTCAGGACTAGGAGCGCGACAGAGAAAATCTGTCAATGTCCACATTAGGATTTTTTCCCTCAATGACACTATGTGACTTAAAAAGATTTTAAATGTGTTTCTAAGTACCCTGCAACTGAGTTTCACTATTTCCACTCGGAGGCAATCTACTGCGCTTTCAAGGGTCGAGCTTATCCGACGGGGTACCGCCCGCGAGCTTCGACCGCGGTGTCGCTGTGTGATGGCTCCGCCGTCACGTCAGAATTCCCTGGTCCGCGAGGCGAGCTTGGTCAGGGGCCTGAGCAGCAGCAGCAGCAGCAGCAGCAGCAGCAGCAGCTACACTGGGAGGTGACTGCAGTGTTCGCCCAGGACCAGGGACCGGGTCCTCCACAATCTCTACGGGCCGTGAAGAGAACTGGAGAGCGTGCCATGTAAACAAAGCGAAACCCCCTTCTCTTCTACTAGTTCTTAGCTCTCTCGTATCATCGTCACAGGCCTCCCGCCAAAAACAGAGACTCAAAGGGCCAAATCGGTGCTGCTGACACCTGCTGGAATGGGCGTCACGGATGGGGGCAACCCCCCACCCCCGGAGCCAGAGAACGGACCTCCCGGGAAACTGGCTGCAGCCAGCGGGGGAGCGTACGGCTATGCTCCTCGGCTCTGTGACCCAGTCGGTGTCCGGGACAGTGGAGCGGGAGCTGGAAAACTGAGTCTGGGCTGCCGCTCCCATTCCTGTACTCAAACTCCATATAATGAAACCATTAAAAATGAGTATTTTTAATAGTCTAGAGTGGGTAACACCTTTTAATGTTACAAAAACCAAGAAGTCATAAAATCTAAGACCGATAGATCTGACCATGAAAAACTTACTATTTGAGCCCTGGCTGGTGTGGCTCAGTGGATTGAGTGCCAGCTTGCGAACCAAAGGGTCGCTGGTTTGACTCCCAGTCAGGGCACACACCTGGGCTGCGGGATAGGTCCTTCGTGGGAGGTGCGCAAGAGACAACCACACACTGACGTTTCTCTCCCTTTCTCTCTCCTTCCCTCCCCCTTTCTCTAAAAATAAGTAAATAAAATATTTTTAAAAAAGAAAAACAATATCTGCACATGGAAAATTACATAAAAACCAATGTTAACACATGATAGAAAATGACTAATTTCATTAATATAGAAAGAATGTTTGCAAATCAGGAGGATGAGGACCGAAAGGCACTAGGAAGTGAGCAAACCTAAAGAGAATTCACAGGGGAAAAAAAATAGCCATGGCCTTAAAATAGAGAGTAAAACGCGAAACCGCCCGTGAAGGAAAAACACTAGTAACAACCAGCGGACACAGATGTTCACCTAGACTGTCAAAGATCAAACAGTTGGCCAGGGCGGGGAAATCAGGGCAGGTGTGCTGGGCGCAGCATTAAACGGGTCAAGTCCACGTGGAAGGCAACTCTGCACCTGCTCCCTAAATGCACGTGCCCTTTGATCTAGCCAGGAGCTCATTCAGTAGGTATGCACGAAGGTGGAGCTGCAGAAAGGGGCACTTCGTGGCAGCACGGTTCGCAGTGGCGGAAGCCCGGAAACGGCCACACTGACCGAGCGGAACTGAGGCTGGAATCCCCGTGGTACTGCGGGCGATGGGATGCTGCGGCCGCCGCACGAGGCGTGAAGCGGATCCAGCTCTGCTCACACAGACAACTTCAGATTCCCCATTTTAAAGAAAACCCAAAGGTGTAGGGGCCTATCTCTATTTATGGAAAAAACGGGGCAGGGTGGGTGCCTGGACTCACCCACCCCGGAACAGTCCTCGGACTGGGGTCCCTAGGCAAGCACCGCAGCGGCATCACCCGGGATCTTCCAGAAATACAAATCCCGGGGCCCCGCTCAGACCTGCTGACTTGGAGCCTCTGGGGAGAAGAGTCCAGCAAGCTGTGTTTCGATGCAATGAGCCTTCCGGGGAGCTCTGGTGCGCGCTCAGGTCTGAGGACCGCTGTGCCGGGCGTCCTCAGAGATCCTGGAAAACTGGTCACGGCTGTTAGCTCTGGGGAGAGGAGATGGGACGAGGAGCAGGGGCGAAAGAGAGACTTTTCACTTCTGTATTTTGGGTTGGTTTTTTTCCCACCATGTGTGTATGTATCACCTATTTAAATAAAAATTTAACCATCAAACCTGCCACTTTGATCCAAAATGGTTATAAATGAGGCTCAGCGCTTTGGGAAAACTGAATTTAAGTTTTGGTTTACACCATAATTCTTTAAAAAAAAAAAAACCCACCTATTTTAGACCAAGATTTCACTGCAAAAGATCAGGCATATCTATAAATGACCATGTATCGTTTGGCACTGCAGCACCTCGGTCTGGGGACCATCGACTCCTCGTTTACTGAGCTGAAGTTTCAAAAGGAAGGAAAACCTTTTTAGAGGTTTTATTAGACTGAGGCAGATCACCCTTCTTATGAGAATAACAACTAAGAAAAAAACAGAAAAAAAGGCAAAGACGAAGAGAAAAATTGAACAATTTTTTTTAAAAAAAATGCACAAAAACCCTACACACTAAATTGTACATATCAAGTATCGGTCCAATCTTGTATCGGTCTATTTACAATTAAACAGCACCATGGTTTCCTTACCTAGGTTACTTACACATGCCCAGAAAATTGTTATTCAAAGTATATGTTCCTTTAAAATAAATTACTGAGAGCTCACATCCTTAACAAATAAAAAAGACCTTCTACCAACCATAGGTTATTGATGATATCACCAAGTTTACTTAAGAAAAATATGTTTAAACACCTTTTTTCCCAGTTGACAAACCTTGTGAGATGTTGCTATTCGGGGTGGCGCACAAATTAACAAAAACTTTTTGACGATGGGGCCTTGCACTGAAAGACCTTCACATACCCCCCCCCCCCCCCCCCCGTGTATAAAAATACTCCTTTGGAATTAATGCTGTTGTATCCTCTTGGATTTAGATTCGATTATCAGCAAACCTAAATTAAATGTAGCCATAACCTTTCAAATAATTGCATTACAAGGGGATGTAGTCAAAGCTCTCAGAAACATGTTACAAGTATAAATATTATTGTGTCTAACAGGCTATAGGAAGTTTAATACCATTTGAAACATTATCTTTAAACTAATTAGCAATTTCATTTTGCCATTAACATCAATAACGGTGCTCCACACCCACACAGATGTGGAGGTTTGGTATTTCCCAGCTGCAAACAGCGTGAGTGCTTTCTCCCTCCAATTTCCCACCCCGCGGATTCCCAGGGGCACAGTGGTCACGTGGGAGCCCCCTCTCACCCCTGGAACCAACCTTGAAGAGGCTGCAACTTAAACGTGACCCTCGGCAGCTTTACTGCAGCCACAGTACAAAAGAATCGGGTCACCTCACCAGACCTGTCAGTCCCGTAGATCGAATCTACGATGGTTCTTAATTTGCCTCTTTGCTAGGAGAGAGGAGAGAGGAAAACTGTCATCCACCATAACTAAGGTAACAGGGAACTGGAAACCGGCATATTAATGCAACATATCACCATTTGGTCTCGCCGCTAATGTTTAAGTGACATCGGTAAATCTGGCCTATTGGTCAGTTATGACCTGAAATTTTCTCTGAAAGATTGAAGATAGGCACAGTTCTCCCAGGCACAGGTGGAATGGGCTGGCTCACACCCTTACTGCAAACTGGGGGAGAAAAGAGAATGACTTTGTTACCCTGCAGTGGGAATAGCTGCCCTTGATTCCCTGCATTCCCTGGCCCAGTATCCGTGCATCTGGCGGCAGTTAGTTCTGAAAAGTTCTAAGGAGAGCAGGGAGAACAATTGTGGGATTATATAGTAACGACCTTCTAAACTTGGGTACGAGAACCATTTCGTTATATAGACATTTCCAAATACCTATGCAGCAAGAGAACAAGACCCCTTTCAACTGAGCATCAGTTGAAAGTCAGAGGTCGGACTGCACTGACCGGATTATTGCCTAGAGTTCCAGAAGGGGGCCTGCCACCAGTGCGCTGGAAGGCACGGAGATTCGGTGGGAATATAAAGAGCTCCTCACATGGGGACGGGAAAGCAGTGCTGAAACACAATTCACCAGCCTCCGACCCTCGATGACTAAACAGTAATTGAGCAAAGAATCAAGACCAGAATAGAAGCAAACCTCAGACACTGCTCTTTCTGGTTTCCACTCTAAAAAGCTCAAGTCTAATAACTGTTATTGATGACTTCTGGAAATGATCGCTCACTTTTATAAAAACTGTCTTCACAAGGTGCTCGGTGCTGTTCTCCACGGATGCAGTGTTCTATTTACAGTCTCGATCATTTAAATACAGCCACTACATAGTTTCCGGGTGTTCTAAAGTAAATGGTCGTCTACTTCTTAACTGTCCCTCAAATCAGAAATTGTAATTACACGAGTCTCAAAGGCTAGCTCTTTGTGTTTTATTAATTATTTTTGTTGGTCTCCATCACAGATGGAATTTTTCACCGATAATTCCTCAGAACTAAATCCATTATACGGAATGCAGAGCAGTGAAAATAAATTTCACGCCACAGAATAGGAAACAACAATAGAAAGGAGTGGGAGGGATCTGGGGAGCAGCCGACAGAACCAGCTCAGTTCTCAACCGGCGTCGGGTTTTGCAGAGGCTGGCTCATTATAACCTGAACGACATAGTCCTTGGGGATCTTCAGCTCTTCCAACTTCATCCTGTCGGTGAGCGGCCTGCCAGAGAAGAACCACCGCTGGCTGCTCGGCTCCACGCCCTCGGCTGCGTGGAGGCGTCTCTTCATGCGGTGCACCGTGTCCGTGCTGCGGACCGCGAGTTTGAGGTCTTTGCCAGTGGAGAGGCGCAAACGGAGCTGACACTCGTACCCAGAGTCGGGGGGTGGCTCGGGGACGTCCAGAGTCTCTACGTCGCTCTTCTCCTCTATCATGTTGATGGGCGGGGCCAGGCAGTAGACCGGAAGCTGGTACCGGTTCCCCAGCTCGTCGTAGCACTCGGTCAGCGCACCTTCGGGAAGAAGATGGCAGTGAGGGTTTAAGCCAAACCGACGCGTTTTTGTGTACACCTTGCAAAATACTCGAGCATCGCTTGCTAGTTTGCCATTGTAGAGAAAAATATTCAAATAAGGTCAGTCACTGTCAACTGACCATCTGTGATAATCATCAAGGTCCATGACAAATTAGTTGAATGATTATCTAATTTTGTGTTAATCAGAACCTTTGCTGTTACCCTCATCTCTTCTACTTCATACCTAATTCACACTTTCATGGAAAGATAAAGGAAAAGAAAGCACTCGAAATTAAAATTCACTACTATCATTAATGCTTAGACCAAATTAAGGAGAGATTCAAATTGTACTGGGATATCTTTTTAAGAAAGATTCAGCTAAAAAAAGCGTCTCTGAGCCCAATGCACCACAACACAGGGTTAGAGTGGTTTCCTTACTGCGCAGACTCACCACGATGAAGGGCTTGGCCAAGGCCCTTTGGTTCCAGGGCATCACACACTCGGATGCCACCGGCCCGCGGCTCACGTTCCTGTAATAAGATTCAGGAGCCCAACGACCACAGAGGGGACTGAGGTGTTTCATTAACTCCAGCTACTCAGTGTTACAGAGAAGTTACGGGTTAAAAAGGAAAAACGAACAAGGGGTTAAGTTTATAACCAGCTGGCTCAGAGGAAGGAGAAAAGCATTTATGTTTTAAAAGAAAGTATTATTGACTAATTTTTTATACATCATAAACTGCATTATAATTTCCAGGACTTCCCCAGGGAGGTTAAAAGCATACTTAACAAATGTTCTATCATAAGGTTATTCATAATGTGTGCCCTCTACTCAGACCAGACATTAACCAGATACGTCAGCTGATTTTCAATGTGGATTTTAAAAAGCAAGAACATCTACCATACACTCAAAAACCCTTACACGCACCCTAATGAATATGGGCAGTGGCCGGCTCAGAAATGGTTATCAATGAACAAACGAGTTAAGGAGCTGGTCTCTGTGGTCACCATCAACAGGCTGAAAATACAAAGCAGCAGAATTGAGAGTGAACAGTCGCTGGTGACCTGGGGTCAATCAGGTCTGCCCTCCAGTCACGTCACAGGAGCTGGGGAAAGAGCTACGTCACCAAGCTCAACACGCATGAAGCTCCCCATCCTCTGTTTAATGGCACCGCTCAGCCTGCGCTGCTCACGAACGAATCGAACACTGCAGTGACACCAGAAGCGGACCTACCCCGAGCACAGTTGAAACTAGTCCCCCAGGCTAGGAACTGGGAAGCACCACCACACCGCACCAGGGTTGTTTCTAGGCCGCACCAGGGTACGGCCACTTGTCACTGTTTAGATATCTTCTAGAGCCTCGTCCTAAGGCAGAGAAACCTATCCGAGTTTTTCACGTGGACTGACAGGATAACGAGAGAAAGCAGAGTGGTCACTCACACCCACTGCCTCGCTAAGTGAACACCCCCCGATACGCAGCCCACTGATACGAAGGGTCAGTCCCGTGGGCTGGATAAGCACAAGAATGTGTTTCCATAACTGTTCTGCTGGAACAAGATTCTCTTAGGCATCATTCCAAATCATCACCTTTGGAATCCGGAAACCAAGATGAAGTTCCCAGCCTTGTTCTTAACTAGCTGTATAGCCCTGAGCAACATTCTGTAACCTGAAATCCTGTTTTTGATCAGCAAAATGAGGCAGGACCAAACTGACCTCTAAAGTGGTTTCCACATGTGTCTCCATCTTCATGCACCACAACAGACGGAAAAGAGCAGACCGCAGCCCTGGCCGGTGTGGCTCAGTGGACAGAGCACCAGCCTACGAAACCAGAGGGTCCCTGGTTCGATTCCCAGTCAGGGCATGTGCCTGGGTTGCAGGGCAGGTCCCCAGTGGGGGGTGAGTGAGAGGCAATGACACATCGAGGTCTGCCTCCCTTCCCCTCGCTCTAAAAATAAATAAATATAATCTTTGGGGGGAGGGAAACAACCAACCAAACAAACAAAACCCAGCAGGACTGCAAGACAAAGCCCCAAACACCCTACATTTTCAGTTAGGCTCCCTGGGACCTGGGTCACGGCAGGGTCACGGCAGCCTTGGGAACCACGCCAGCCTCAACCAGACGCACCAGCTACTAACAGGCCCTCTGGCCCTTCCCAGGTCTGAGCGCTCTCTCCTCCACCTCAGCGGGAAGCCGAGCCTTTCCCCTCCCGCCTTCAGCCCGAGTCAGGCTCAGTTCTCAGGTCTCAAAGGGTGAGAACAGGAGCCCCGCGGAAGACGTACAGGTGGAAACACGTAACTGTGATGCTGGATACGCTATCCAGACTCTGTGCTGCTAAGAAGTGTCCACGTTTCAGTATTTTCAGGAAAGATAACATGCATTATTTAACACAAAGTTTTCCGATGTAGTCTTTTTCTCACTTCTGCCTGTTAAAATATAAACTGAAATAAATATGCTCTAGTATTTTAAACTAAAATCTTTATGAAGAAGGGGAAATTCCAGACCATGAAGTCAGTATGACTTAATTACATTTTAAGGCTATGGTTTTATGGGTTATTCCCGCCCCAGAATTAAGTATCTATGACCATAAAGTGTCAGTGGGAACACTGTGTGCTCACCGCAGAGCACACAGCGAACACACCCGGAACCTCGCCACAGCAGCAAGGACCCCTCCGCAGGCCCACACAGGTTTGAACGCCCCCCCCCCCATGGCTCCAAGTCTCTTTAAGGACACAACTGCTCTGCTGACAGCGACCTCCACCACACAGACCCTTGGGGACCCCACGAGGGCCGCCAGGGAACAGCTCTCACACGGTGGCTGCAGGAACGTCTGCTGAACACCTGGAAGCAGGGCATGCCACTGGCACCGAGGAGAAGTTGTAAGAGAACCAGGACTGCCCTTGACCTCTAGGAGCTTAGCATCAAGGCGGCCAGACGCAACATAACTCCCAAAGACTTAAGTACAGCTGATACACTAAAAATCACACGTAGAAGCCGAGGTAGCACACAACAGAAAGGCGACTAAAGCTGGTAGAGCCAAGGAGGAGAAGTTCCGGAGATACGGCGTGTTCTGGGCGTGACGCAGAATAGAAATAAAGGGCATCCCGAGAAACAGGGGTGACACGGAAATGGGAAGTGCTACAAGTGGGGGGCGGCGAGGGGCCCTGCCGAGGCGGCGCACAGAACCGACGATGTTCCGTGCTGAACCTGACAGAGGAGTTCAGGAGTTTACAGACACGGTTGTGCAAGAAGTGACTGACGCAGGTACACAAGTCACCCACCCAATAAACTCTGACTGCCCGTGACACGCCAAGCACCGGAGTCACGTTAAAGAACAAGACAGAGCCTGAAGATCATCTGCGCATTTGCACGAAGGGAGGACTGACTGGAACCAGGGGAACCTGCTGAGTAACTGTCTGACTATAGCAACAGAAAGACATGGGTCTAAGGGAATCCATCAATGGTGACCTGCAGGACCTAATGACAGGTTGTATATGCTGAATAGCAAAAAGGAAAAAAGCCTCACCTAACCAGAAAAAGAGTAACAGAGAATTTAGGGCCACAAAATTCTTTGCTTCGTTTTTTTTTTAAATTGATTTTAGAGCAGATGGGGAAGGGAGGCAGGGGGAAGGGAGGAGGAGGGGCATAAGGAGGAGAGAGAATAGAATAGAATAGAATAGAATAGAATAGAATAGAATAGAATAGAATAGAATAGAATAGAATAGAATAGAATAGAATAGAATAGAACGGAAGCACCGATCCACTGTTCCCCTTATTTGCACGCTCACTGACCGCTTCTGTACGTGCCCTGACCACAGACAGCCCCTGCGACCTTGGCGCACAGGGCTGATGCACTACCCAACTGAGCTACCCGGCCAGAGCTCTTTGCTTAGTTTTTTTTTTAATTGTGTCAGGTTCAGTGAGATAATTCAGTTGAATTATATGCAGGTGACTGAAAAAGCACAGTATTGGGAAAAGGGTAAAAGCAGTCTGTAGAGTAATCATCTCAAACGCACACATTTAAACATAAAAGTGAACATCTGAGAGTGCTTGCCACTGTGTCTGAGATGAAGGGTGTGAAGTTAACTGACCGCAGCAGGAATCATTTCACAGTGTATGTAAGTCCAACCATTATGCTGTGCATCTTAAACTACACAGTGATGTAAGTCTGTTACACTTAATGAAACTGGAAAAGCAGAGCGCTTACCAGTTCTAGCTCTGACTAAAGCACTTCACATACACTAATGTTCAATCCTCACCACAGCCTTTACGTTACTCATTTTATAAATGGGAAAACTGAAGCAGGAAGAAGTAACTTGTCCAGGGTCATAGACAGGAGTGGAAGAATGAAATAATCTGATTCCTGAAGAGGTAAATGCATAACACAGGAATGAGACTACAGGGCTTGGTTCCCAGGTTAGGGATCTGGTTAATGGGAAGGATGCGATGAGCTGGTTGGTGGGGAAGAGGGGGAGGACAAATACTAGAGGGATGAAAACCAAACATGAATGAGCAAGAAACCACCAGTCTGAATGGAGCCCAACGACCTACTTCCCAGTGATGTTAACCACAGGTCAGAGAAGGAACCGGAAGGTAAGGCAAAAGAAAATGGTGACTGAGAGAGCCTTCGGTGCTGTGAGGTCACCACATGTAGTGATGAAATGGACATATTACTGTTACCGTCTCATCCATGATATTTGCCAGGAACATGAGGAAAATAAAGCATAGTTAAAAGATGGAGAGTTTTGCTTTAGAGAAACCCTGTGTTTAAACACAAATAAAAGGAACCACCCTAAAAGTTGATAACATAGGGGTATTTCTACCTGTCCAAAATCACTTTCACCTATGTTTGCATTTGCAACGTATAAAAGGTTTGAATCACCCGCACTGGCCACCGAGGGTGCAGCTCACTGAGCAATTCTCCACGAGTTCTGAAGACGGTCTGGCCAGGCTTGCTTACACCGCTCACCAAACCTCCTCTGAGGAGGCCAGGACACACTCGTCT